TATTAGCATACATATAGCCCGGTTCAATCATTATGTAAGATTCTGCATATTTATTTTTATGTGGTAGTTGCTTCGCTTGCATTAAATCATCTTTAGTAGCCTTAAACCGGGCTTGGATTTGCATTGTGTGTGTTTAGTAGCATGTTTAGGATCATTGTATCATATTTAATTCATATCTTGCATGTCGGACGCTTTGTGGTGGAATTTAGGTAAGTCATTCTCATTTCATGGCATATCGCTTGTGGGTTTTGCATTGTTCTTTAAATAATGCAAGTTAGATGCTTTTGTGATCGATTGGATGTTTTGGATGTTTTTACGAATGTTGCTTGGTTTAGATGGAGTTTATAGCCATATTATGTTAAAAATCACTTTTTGTTACAAAATCATTATTTTACAAAAAATATATGGCTTTATTCTTTTAAATCCAAGTTAAGTGATATTTATTTTATTCAATCACCTAGTTGTGAGATTTAGCAAAGGATAGGGTTAATAATGAATTTTGTGGAATAATTAATTATTTAATCTCATAAAATAAAAGGTTAGCAGAGGCCAATCACTTGATTGGGCGAAAACAGATGGCATTAATTAATGACCTTCCCCTTTTGAACCTAAATTCCCGAACCAAGAATATTTGGTTGTGACGGATTAGTGCCTGTACTTAGTTTTTATTGTTAAAGGTTTCTTAATTTCCCTTAAAAATTAAATGACGACTCTCGAATGCAAGTAAGTACAACATTGAGTGGAAACGCGCCTTATACCCAAAAAGGCACGGCGTTCATAGCAACACAGTTAATTTAAGAGTTTTTTCTCAGTCCGATGGCCGCAAGGAATTGTTAAAACCTAAAAGGTTTCGATCCTTGAACCTTGGAGGGAGCACACCTCCAAGACCCAAGGCCTTGCCACCAGGCCAACCCCTTAGGGTTCCTTGGCTACGAATTTAATTGGAAGAAAGGAGCATTGCACTCATAAAAATCATGCTAAAGAAAGTAGAGTACAAAAACATTGATATTCATATGCACAGTAAACAAGTTGGTCTTAATTCACACATAAGAATAGCCGATGAAGTTTGATATAATAGGCCAAATGACAGTGGTCAATGTTTTATGTCTAGGGTTAGCTTCATGGCAATTATTCTAGCAACAACAACAACAGCAACCAAAAAAAAAAAGTACTTAGTTCCATTGGATGGGGTCCGGGAGGCGTAGATTGGATACAGACATAAAATTTGACATAAATTGCACAAAGTGACTACCCTCAGTGCAAGCTCATGCATTGTGACCGGTGTCCAAGACTGATTTAGTTAGTTTTAGAGGATTTTACGGTAAGAAATATTGTTCCTTTTTCCACTTCCACCGTAGGGCCAAATAAAAGAAATGATCTCATCAGCATTTCTTCTTCCAGCACACTCAATTAACAGGGATAACCAAAGCTGAGTATTGTCTTTATATTCCTTTCATTCCCTTTCTAACTACCACTAATGACAAGTCGAAAAGATTATTTTCCCCGTCCATTACCTTAAAGAAATAGATATAGACAACACACAACCACATATGCATGTGTCTAAGAATGAGCCTTGTTATATATCACAGAGCATAGTTAACATCTCTAAACCAGTGAATTATATATATCATCCTTTCAATATTAACTCATCATCGTAGAAAGATATAGAGGAAGTTTGAGAAGCAAGAAGAAGGGCTCCAAAGCTTTTTATTTTTGGAAAATAATCCACAAACAGAAAATTATACAAAATTGCATACTAGAATGATATGGGAATGACTTCCATGAAAATGTAAGTCACATTGATGGCCTTTATTTTGGTTGTTGCTAATAGCACCCATCTTCCTTCTTTGAAACCCCACATTTTCATAATTATATTATTACAATTTTACCCCTCCACTTCCCTGCCACCCCCTAGCCCCTTCCCCCAACCCTACCATGTGAACCAAAGATTGACTAAGAGGGAGATAGAGATAGAGATAGAGATCAACTAAGAGAGACACAAAAATCGCGATTTGAGAGAAGAGAAGAAGGAGTAGTGCCGTGGAAGGAGAGGGGAAGGGAGGGGCTAGGAGTAGTGATAAAGAAAAATACACATATAATATGTGTTGCACATGTGATAAGGGCATGCTTTGCCAAACCCATGATCTTGGTTTCAAGAGAGGATGGGAAGCGGCTGCCAGAGATGATGGTGTTGGTAGCTGTCGGAGGTGGCTAGGGTTAGGGTTTCAAAGTGGTAAGAATAAGGAGGGTAATCAAAGAAAAAAATCAAAATATTTCAATGGGGGTCCAAAGAATAATAGTGGGAGCTATTAGCAGTACCCTTTATTTTTAAAATGAAATTGATTCACAAACATAATTTTCCTACATAAAACTCATCCAGAATGATGTGGTAGGGAAATCTTATAATTATAAGTCACAATCATGAGTGTTTTTACTTGAAACGAAACAAGTACAAAATGTTATATCATTTGGTATGAAGTTTTTGTACAAAAAAAATATTTGCATAGCATTACCCTTTTAAAATGATAGGACCTAAGAAAAAAATAAAAAAATGATAGGACCTAAGACTTTCAGATAAATTTTTTACAAATTTAATGTTTGTATTATACTACTACTTACTTTTACTAGACCAGACTGCCATGCTATTGAATTGTCAAAAGAACTATCACATGGGGAAAAGTTCATTACTTTCTTTCAAGTTCCAGCACTCTCATTCCAGAAAGTGCAAATTTCTCAATAACTCAAACCATTTCACAACAATCCTAACCCAAAATCAAATCCTTTGTAGCCACATCTCCAAAATTACATTTCTAAACAAAAATAATGTCAAAAATAGAAACAATTTTGGCATGTAACATTCATGAAGCTACACTAAGAACGCTTTAAGAAAATGTTATGTCTTAGGATCCACCTCACACTTCATTCATGAAGACTTACTAGTGCAACAATTGAGTGAGGCGTGCAGGAAAATAAATGCGTTTCGAACATGTTGCAGATTTACTACCCACAAATATTTACAAATTGGTGGCACCAACTGGAAGATTTTCTAGAGGACATTTCGGTTGCACAACACCAAACCTCAATTATAAATATTCCTTTAGGGGGAGCTTGTAGAGCATAAGTAAATCATAGTTACTCAAGTGAGGAGCTTCTTCTTGTTGTATACATTTAAGTTTGGGTAAAACTTGATAGCTCATTTGGATTGGGTGATTTGGGAAGAAAGAAAAGAAATGCATTTCTCTTGGTTCATATCACTTGTTTGGATAAGTAAGGAGGAGAGAAATGGAATGAAATGAGAAAAAATTGAGAGAAACTCATTTCTCTCACAAGCCTCATTTTGAATCTCTTCCAAAAGTGGAGATACTGTGAGAGAGAAAAAACCAACAAGTTACTATTCTTTTAAAATACCAAAACTACCTGTTTAGATATTGATGAAATAAAAAACTAACACCTATATAAAAGGTTAATCAAACAATTTATTTTCTTTTCTTTTATGTAGTTTAACCAAACAAGATAGGAGAGAAATCATTATCTTTTCTTCTCTTTTCTCTCCTATTTATCCAAACAAGAAGAAAAGAAATCACAAACTTCTCTCTTCTTCTTTTTTTTGGGTAAATTATAAATATATTCCCTGAAATTTACTTAAAATACGATTTGCCCCCTATAGTTTTGAAAATTACATTTTACCCCTTGAAGTTTCTAATTTAATAACAAATGACCCTTTTCATTAATAAATTATCAAGTCAATAAAGGGTTTTTAATAATGTCAAAATTTTATTTTAATTAAAAATTCCGGTAATTTTATCATTGTATAGAAGAGCAATTAGGAATTTCATTTTTTTTAGTTAATTTTGTTAAATAAAAATTCTGACAAATTGGTATTTGCAATTTTTCAAACCACATGGAGCAATCCGTATTTTACGCAAACCGTAAAGGCTGTATTTGTAATTTACCCTTTTTTTTTTACTACTCCTAACTTATATAATCATTTCTTTTTTGTTCTCTCCTAAGTTTCCAAACATAGTGTGAGGGTGTGTCTGTGTATGCCCAACTTTTTGAGACTTTGAGTATACCCATTATTTGGAGAATTTACCCATTGTTGAGTTAGAGAGAGTTTGAGTGTAACCACAGTTGAGTGCAGAGTACTTTTGGTGCATCTAAAATACAGAACAGAAGAGTTGCACGCGCTTACATGTGTGAAACATTGTCAGTTACTAACTGAAGCGGTTAGATCTGATAGGGGAAAAACAGCTCCACAGAAGTTACAACATTATTTGGCTTCATCCACGCCAAGTATGCTGTTGGCTTTGTAGTATACTAGCGGCCCGCACATGCAATACGTGTGCAATTAAAAAAAACGTAATAGTATAAGAATAATGATAAAGAAAAATACACATATAATATGTGTTGCACATGTGATAAGGGCTTGCTTTGCCAAACCCATGATCTTGGTTTCAAGTCTTGTCATCTTCTTTTTTACATAAAAATCAACTACAGAGGTATTTTGGGAAAATCCAAAATATGAGGCACAAATGTGTCAACCCCACCAGCACCACCAGCAGCCTTCACTTTATATATTAGAATAGATAAAATAGATAATTCTAGAGGTTTTATTATATTTGTCCTATAGTTTTTTTCTCTGCACTATATACTGGTTTTCCATGTAAAATGTTGGTGTTGTTGTCTATTTTCTTTGTCTTACTTTTGCTTTTGTATACTTTAATTTTCATTTGATTGGTAGTGTATTTCCCCAAATTGTTGTACACTTGATAATAACAACTCATATATGAATTAATAAGACCACACAAAATAAATAAATAAATTCATAGAAATATATAAGTTTGTGACAGATCCAGCAATTAGTCGCAACGTATCAAAAAACCCACTTCACAAAAAGTTAATTAAAAGCACCGAATAACATCTTTCTGAAAACATAACTATGTAGTTGAATATGAATGTATATGTAGAGAGAGAGAGAGAGAGAGAGAGATTGGGGGAACCTTGAGAACAGAGGCGAAGTTCTCGGCCTGTTCAATTTCAGAAAAATGGCGGGTCCAGCGATTCCAATCCCAATCGGAAGAATTGGCGGTGGTGTTGGTGCTGCTGCTGCTGCTGCAACGGCAAGAAAGCTTTGAACTTTTGCGGGTCTTGAGAAAATGCTTTCTGGGAACAGTCAAACCCCGACCCAACACGGCCCTCAAGTTTCCTGATTTCTTCAAAAAGCAATCAAAAGAAGAAGAAGAAGAAGATGATGATGATGATGAGGAAGGCCTCAATTGGGGCACTGAGATTGAATGTCCAGTGCCCCATACATTAGCCACCGCCATCTCTCTCTCTCTCTCTCTCTCTCTCTAGCTCTGGGGAGTACAGGAGGAGGAGGATTAATGGGTGGGGAGAGACTTTTTTATTGAAAATCGTATTGTAATGGATAGGGTGATATCTATCCACTGGTGGGCCTCATTGGAAAAATGGTTTTCTTCGTGCACCCAATAATAATATGGGCGTGTTTGGCAACTTGGTTTTTAGATTTTTTTTTATTTCTTTTCACTACAAGGTAAATGCTTTATAAAATCAAAAAAATAAATTCAAACAAAATATCACATCAAATTTTAAAAAACCGAACTACCTTTCCAATCACAAAAAAAAATTTCTCTAATAATATCCTACAACTAAAATAATTTACAAAAAAACTCACTTTCTAAACACCCACTATATAAAATAATTTACAAAAAAACTCACTTTCTAAACACCCACTATATAGTTTTTGCTTTGGAATGCAGGATCAATTTTTTATTTTTTTTGACCTTTTAATTATTTTATAAAATGTTTTATTTGAGATAAATTTTTTGATTTTTTAATTTGTATGAGAAAAAAAATTATAGTTTAGATATGATATTTTTAGGTATTTTGAAAAGATAGTTAAAAGTTACCTTTTTATTTTTATTTTTTTGTGAGAGAGGAAATGGATTAAAAATTGAAAAGTGACTTTTAATTTACTTTTCAAAATAGACCTTTATGGTATTTTAACTTATTTTTGTCTTTTTATAACTATTTTAACTCATAAAATTCATCCCAAACATAACCTATAGCTTTGTTTGGTAAAAAAAAAGTTTAGTTAGCATTTTGGAATTGAGATTTTTTTAGTTTAGGATTAAAAAAAAATGGTAAAAAAATTTCGATTTTTTTATTTTTATAAGAAAAAAATTAAAATAATTATGATTTGAATGTAATATTTTGACCTCTTTTGAGTAAGTGGTTAAAAGTTACTTTTTGGTATTTAACTTATTTTAGGTCACATTACCTTTTTATTTTTTTATACATTTTTTTAAAAAGTAAAATAAATAAATAAATAAACTAACTTTTAACCTACATCTCAAAACAACATTTTGTCTTATTGATTTATTTAGCCTATTTTATTTTTGTGCTTTTTTAGTTCCAATTAGAATAGTCAAACAAATTATGTTTGATTGAGAGATTTGAGAAGAAAAATTAAATAAAATGTAAATATATTTTATTCATATTTCTCCTACTTTTTCTTTTTTCTTTCTAACATTTCTTTCCAAATCCCTAATCAAACACATAATAAAGGACTTGGCTTTTCTTTAATCTCAAATAAGTTTAGAGAGGTAATGTTAGATTCATTTGGCTAATTTTTTGACCCGTTTCAATAATTTAAATTATTTATATTTTAGAATTCATCGAATACATTATTTCTTCAAAAAAATTAAGTTGATCGGATAACGGAAATCACATATTCAGATCAGTTTTATATAGAAAAAAAATAGGCAGTGAGAAAATAAATTATTCATATAAAAATTTATTTGAACACACGATTTTCGTTATTTAATAGACTTATTTTTTTCTATAAAAATGATATATTCAACAAATCTTAAAATATGAACGATTTGAATTATCAAAGCAAAGTAAAAAAATAAATCTAAGTAGGTCAGACTAAACATCTAATCCAATAGAGTAGACCTGAAATAATCTAATCCATTATCGAAAACAATGAAACAGTGGATCTATATTGTCCATATCCAATATTAGGTACGAATAAAGATTGAGAGCTCTAGAAAATGAATTAAAAAAAAAATCTCTAATTGTAGGCCTTATTATGTGATATGATATTTTGATTTTTTTATTTTACCACATCAGTAGAGCTCTGATTAAAACTATATCATTAGAGTTTTGAGGGCTGGTTTGGCAAGTGTAAAAAAAATTAAAAAGTCAAAAAGTTATCAAAAAAGTTAAAAAGTTATCATTATCCACAAAAAAAATGTAAAAAAATTAATATACAAATATTAAATACAAATCAACTTTTTGTTAAATCAATAAACTGATGTTAGGTCAGCTTCAGTGAAAGGAACGAAAAAAAAGGTTACATATGTACATTCACTAAGTTGGATGGTAAAGTTGGGCCCGTGAGGGCCTACCATGGATCCCGTTTTGATAATGTGAACCGTTCAAGTTGTAGAACTCGTCTAGTACTATATATCTGTAAAAACTCACGTATATCGGATATCGTTAACTACATGATCAAATCAGTTTTGTATAAAAATTGGATGATGTTACAATTAACAGTTGACAAAAAAAAACTAACACGATTAGATAGTTATCGATATCCCATCAATGTGATTTTTTACAAGCATATAGTACTCGATGAGTTTTACATATTGAACGGTTTCGATTAGAAAAAGGGACCCGTGGTGGACCTCCACGGGCCGAACAACACCTTCTAATCAAAGTCCGAAAATGAGGCAATTTTTTCTCATGTATTCACCAAGCCGACTGACTGCCAATCCGTACGGCATACTACACTATCTTCTCCTACACACTTCTTTATACAATTTTTTAATACACATTTTTTTCATAAAAAGTTGAAAAGTTAGGGAAAATTAGTGTAGGGTCCCTCTCCCACTTTTCATAATGGAAGAGATCTACAAAATTATTTTCTGATGTCTAAGGTCCCTAAACATATATCAGAGAAATTTGTCTCTCTTCTCTCTCTCTTCTCTGCACCTCCACCATCCTCTACGACATCTTCCTCAACACCTTCTCCTCCGACACCTCCCTCCGCTCTACCACCGTTAACCGGTTGAATCCGATGAGGAAGAAGAGACTTTCTTCGATTTGGAATTTGCTGTGCCAGGTTCTGACGAGAAGGAAGACAAGGACGATGGTTCGGACACTGACGAAGATTCGTACAACGATTTGGCTATAAAAAGGACGGCGTGATCGAGTTTGATTTTGTTGAATCTCCTAACGATGTGTTTTTTAAAGGAACCAAGCCTTTGTCTCCGATTTCGTTCCTGAGATCTCCGCCGAAGTTTCGAGTTTTTATGCTGTTTAAGAAGCCGAAATTGGAGAAAATCGAGTCCGCCGATGCGTCACCGGCGACTCACCAACAGAGCAAGCATTTCGCTGAGAAATGTAAGGTTGAGGAAGTTTCGATTTTCTCACTGCTTGCGAGAGTGAACAGTTCGAGAAGCAATTCACGGAAGCAGAGCTCTGAGAACGGTTCGTCGAAGCGTTTCGCCAAGGATGTGGTCCAGAAGTATCTGAAGCTTTTAAGGCTCAATCCTCATATGAAGAACCAAAGGAATTGCAGGTTTGCAGTGTCAGTGAAAAGCTGATTCAGATGATCCATTATCAGAGAGAAATGGTAAATCACGATCACCTGAGCTGAATTTTCTCTGGGTTGAAACCAGAGAAATTCTCTAGTTTGAACTGAAATTTCTCTGGGTTGGTCCGGAGAAGTTTTCTGGCTTAAAGTGAATTTTTTCTGGATTGGTCCAGAGAAATTCTATGATTTGAACTGAATTTTCTCTAGGTTGATCCAGAGAAATTCTCTGGTTTGGCGGAGAATTTAGTTTCTTCGACAGCTATGATTTCTGGGTATGCCCGAAGTGGAGGAAAATCGGAAGCTGTTGAACTCTTGCGTGGTATGGCAGAGAAGAATTTGTTTTCTTGGACGGCTTTGATATCTGGGTTGGTACAGAGTGGACAATGGATTGATGGGTTTAATCTCTTCATTGAAATGAGGAGAGCAGGGGTTGATATTGTAGACCCTTTTATTCTTTCAAGCATTATTGGAGCCTCAACTAATTTAGCAGCATTGGAGCTTGGAAAACAGATTCATTGCTTAGTTTTATCTCTTGGTTATGAATCTAGTTTATTTGTTAGTAATGCACTTGTTGATATATATGCTAAATGTAGTGACATACTAGTAGCAAAGACCATTTTGGATACTATGTGCCGAAGAGATATAGTTTCTTGGACTTCAATTATAGTTGGGATGGCCCAGCATGGACAAGCAAACGAATCATTATCTCTGCATGATGAGGTGATTTCAGCTGAATTTTCTTTAGTTTTTTAACTGAATTTTCTCTAGGTTGAAACTAGAGAAATTCTTTGGTTTTTTAACTGAATTTTCTCTGGGTTGGTTCAAAGAAATTCTTTGGTTTTACTGAAGTTTCTCAAGGTTGATCCAGAGAAATTCTTTGGTTTTTAAACTGAATTTTTCCAATTCAAGAATTTCAGTATTATGGAGATCCAGGTAGATTTCAGCAAATCATCACAAATCTCATGGGTAATTCAATCAAGGTAAGTATGCATCAGCTTCTCAAATTTCAGTCCAACAACCCAGAGAAAATTCAGACCAATCAAACCAGAGAAATTCTCTGGACCAACCCAGAGAAAGTCTAGAGAAAATTCAGTTCAGGCCAAAGAAAATTCAGTCTAAACCAAAGAATTTCTCTGGACCATGTAAACAAACCCATGGTGGTAACGCTGCAAATTCAAACAGGTAAAGAAATTATGAAAATATTGAGGAATTTTCTCTAGACCAATTTTCTCTGGACAAATTTTCTCTGGATCAATATTCTCTGGACCAAATTTCTCTGGATCAATTTTCTCTGAATCAACTTGAGGGACCTTAGACATTATGAAAATATTAAGTGCCATTTATACTGTAAAGTCTTAATACCAGGGACCTGAAAAAAAATCTCCAAAAAGTTAACTCAAACATTTATATTTTTTTACTCAATTTTTTAGTTCAAAAAAATAAAAAATACATTTATTTAGTACACTCCAAACAACCTCTAATCACTACTATTAAGATAAAATACACTTTGCGTGTCATATCATCATCATATATTAAAAGTACCCTTATCTTTAATGTTTTTCTCTTTTCCTGTGACATATTTTTTCTATTCTTTCTTTGTCTTATGTGATGTATCATTCTTATCTTTTACCTTTAAAAATATCACAATAATATACTCTTATAGTTAATTTGTGTTAAAATATACTCTCATATTTAATTAGTGTTAAAATATAATATGTAAAAGAATTTTATATTTAATTAGTGTTAAAATATAATATATAAAAGAATTCTATTTAATATGAATTATTCTATTTAATATGAATTATGAATTACTTATAAAATTAATACTTTATAAATTAATTTTTTTTATTGTCTAATATTAATTGAATGTTTGTGCGATAAATTCAATTTTAAATTTTTTTTTCTCCGAAAGGTAGTATCTTAAATAAAGACAAGCTCGTATAAAACAAAACTACCCTCTCATGCGTTTTATCTCACATCTCTCTCACTCTAATCTCATCTTGTATGACCTTTGGAACTGTTGAATTATCATCCAAATTCATTGTCATCTCAGGCAAATCGTATTCTGATATGTTCTTATTATGCTGTAGTAGGAGACAGTTTATATCTTGCAGGGTTCACAAATATGAATATATGGAGCGTAGTAGTAAAGTTCATAAGGTCTACTCTCTTCTTTTGCCATCGACATACGCATCACCGCCACTCTCTTTCCGTTTTTTCTCTCCCACCCCGCTCGTCTCTATCTCAATTCCGATTAGTTTCATGACATTGCTAACTGCATCTCTCTCCTCTCCTCCCCCGTTGTCGTAGTTAGCCCCTACTCTGTCGCCTCTGGTGCAACCTATATTGCTCGCTGTCGGCGTTGCCCCTTTGTGGCCGCCGGTCACTTCCTACTCCAATGCCAGATCACGAACTAGATCTGGAAGATCTGGAGAAACTGCACACACACGCACTCGCACACACGCATATATATACATGTATGTTATATACAGATCTGCCCCTCTAATCTCTCTCCATTTCTTCTATATATAGTTGTATATATATATATATATGTATGTATAGATATGTGTTTGTTTTGTAGATCTACTAGCGGCTGGACACACGCGATGCGTGTGCGAACTCGTTTAAAATTATAATCATCTTGCTTGATTTTTAGTTTTTTGAAAATACTTTTCAGAAAATTCTACTTTCTTATTTTTCATGTTTTTTTGTTTTTATTGAATTTTTTTAATATTTTAAGCAATTTTTTTACTTTTTAGACACACCTAACATAAATACACTTAAAAAGTAAAAAAAATGTAAAAAAAATCTTTTAAAAATTCACTAAATACCAAAATATAAAAAAATACAAGAATTCAATATATTTTTTGTATTTTTATGTATCAATTAATTGTTTAAAATATTTTTTCACAACTTTTTTACTTTTTAGATACATGTAAGTAAGGTGCATCTAAAAAAGTAAAAAAAATGTTTAAAATTTAAAAAATATTCACTAAAAATAAAAAAACACAAAAACCAAAAAAGTCAATTTTTAAAAAACTTAATCCAGAAAACTCAAACCAAACACAGTGAATATGATTTTGATATTATTTTTTCTAATATTCCCTCCGTCCCAAAATATTAGTCCCTTATTTTATTTTTCATTGTCCCAAAATATTAGTCCCTCTTCAAAAATCAAATACAAAAATAATATAAATTTCATATTTTGTCCTTTTTTAAATTAATAAACAATATAAAAAGTACAATTATGACATTGATATTCTCAAAAAATGTACTATCAAAAGGATAATTTTGAAAAATTAACTTTTTTAAAGTGCAATAATTGTACTACCAAAAAAAGTTAGATTCTCCAAAAGGGAATATTATTTTGGGACGGAGGGAGTAATATACATGTAAACCATATGAATAATTATGTACAATGTAACATTTGATATTAACATATTTGATAAATAAAACATATGTACATTACAATATGTACACGTGTTTTAAAAATTGAAATATTTACTAATCTTAACAAAAAAAATTGTACAATAAAAATTCATACTCCCCCGTCTCAAAATATTAGTCCCTTATTCCATTTTTCATTGTCCCAAAATATTAGTCCCTCTTTATAAATTAAGTACAAAAATAATGTAAATTTCCTATTTTGCCCTTCTTTTAAATTAATAAACAATTTAAAAAGTACAATTATGACATTGATATTCCCAAAAAATGTACTATCAAAAGGGTAATTTTGGAAAACCAACTTTTTTCAAATGCAATAAGTGTACTACCAAAAAAAATTGGATTCCCCAAAAGGGACCAATATTTTGGAACGGAGGGAGTATAAAATCTAAATTTGATAACATGAGATTGGAGATCCTGCAAATCCTGCAAATATATATATATATATAAGATATATTTATCATAAGATTGCTAATAGTATACATTGATTAAAATTATATTTTACGTTATGAGGCATAATTATAAATAAGTTTGGTTTTATAATTGGCTTATTATGTATAAAGACACAAAAGGTAATTATTGTGTTAATTTTTTGTAAACAAAATCTAAAAATTAAAAACTTACATATCGACATAGATTGACATCGTTCATATCAAATGTCACGTTCAATGATTTCTTCAAATTGTTTTGATGCAATTTTTGCCATAGATCTATGACAACATTAAACTACAAAAAATAAGATGGAATTGACCGAAAATGAAGTACGTAACTTTAGTTATACATACAAACCTATAAGTAGATTACCTTGTAACAGTGTTGCACATATATTTGTAAGCTTTCAATTTTTGTATCATTCGTTGCTTATAAAACTGAGAAAAAACATCTCACTTCCTTGTAAGTTGATTGTTTAACAAATTTATAAAATCAAAAATTAATTTGTAAATTCACAAATATGAATATATGGAGCGTAGTAGTAAAGTTCATAAGGCTTGATCTTTTACCACATATATGTCCATATTGTCTTTGCTGCATACACTTGCTCTATCAGATATGATAGAATTTTTATAAAAAGATTATAATAACTATTAGCAAATGTAACATATTGAAATTATTCATATAAAATGCCACAAACACATTATCATACCGATGTTGTCGTTGCCTCAAAAAGCTCTCGCACAATTAATTTTTCCAATTGTTTTTTATCAACTTTAATAGAGACCTTACATCCAAGACTGTATATGGAGAACTGTTTGACCTACATTAATTTAAAAGGTATAGTCAAACTCAAAATATATGCGAATATTGTTAGATTAAATAGCAAAAATTTTACAAATATTATTTTTTGAACATAAGTGAAGTCAATACCTGATTTTTAACTTTCTTATCTGCAACAATATTTGCTTCCTCTAGATAATTCTCCCAAAGCTGAAGTAGCTTTATTTTTTCAAGTATTCCTACAATCAATAATTATATGAAGATATATTATAAGTATATTAATTGTAGATTTTAAGAAATGATATAATATAAGCTGAATAAGAACATATTTAGTACATACCTCATGTATCAATAATTTGGTAACAAAACATCTTTGTAGACTACATTGCGGGTATACACTCCTTCATTATTAACTGAACCTTTTTTAACCAAGACTTTCGTTGTTTGATCTGACACCCCTCGAGATAAAGCAACATATAGTTGTCCATGACTAAATACATAATCCGGAAGGTAAATTCCCACATGTGGAATTGTTTGACCTTGTGATTTATTTATCGTCAAAGCAAAACTAAAGCGAACTGGAAATTGTGTGCGAGTCATTTCAAATGGAAGTTTTAAGTTTTCCGGAGCCTTTAATGGAATACGATGTAGGAAAACTCTCGTGTCTTTGAAATGTCCTGTTAAAATCTCTGAATCTATGAAATTATCGTTCAAAGCTCGACACAGTAGCCTTGTGCCATTGCACAAACCAGAAGAAGGGTCAAGATTCCTCAAAAGCATAATTGGGGCTCCAACTTTCAAATGCAATGCATGCGGGGACATTCCTCCTGGTGAAATGGAATTTAAAAACTCTTGTTGATACAAATTTTGGGTATCATTTTCAACTTTATCAAATGAGTGGTACACTCTTGACTCTCCTGGAAATCTCTGAATGATTTTCTCATTGAGCTTGTCGACATCTTCATTGCGAGGAGTTATTATGCCCCTACTAACCATATACTCGGCGTCAAAAGAATGGTTTATGATATCATGATAAATTTCTTTTAATAGTTGAACTATTGATTATTCGCCATTCCATGGTATTGCCATCGATGTTGGTACTTTGATCATTTCATCTATAATTGTAGGTTGTACACCATTTTCAACAGATAAAAGAAATTCACCAAACTGTTGGTCATTTATAGAGCGCATGTTTTGCTTTAAACGAAGTATTTGAATGTGACTCCAAAGAGGTGATTTGACTATCGATGCAGCAATAGCTTCAGCTTTTGTACCTTTAGGAACAACTGGAAGTACTTGTCGAAAATCACCACCAAACACCATAG